GCAGGATTTGGTGAAAGGATTGCAGGATCAGTTAAGTGAGGAGAGATGAACAGGCTTTGGGAGCAAGTGTTGCTTACTGCTAAGTGTGATCATGAAAGGGAGCGTAAGCTGCAGGCAGAGGGCCTGTTTGCAGCTCAGCGTGATCTTGAAGGGGAGAGTAAGGTACAGGCAGAGGCACTTCTTGCTGAGGATGATCGGGAAAAGGAAAAGAGGCTGCAGGCAGAGGCATTGCTTTCTGCCAATCATGATCATACTAGGATGCTTCAGGTGGAGCTTTGGGATGCTGTGGTAGTTTTAATCTCGGCCTTCCCTGGTTACCAGTTTGTAACCAAGGAAGGGGCAGTGTTCCTAGTATTCCATAGGATTTTTATGTAAATCGTGGTATAAATAAGAAGGGAGGAGAAGCCTTCGCTCTTCTTCTCTTCCACCGAAGTTCAGGAACAGTGAGTCCCTGCATTAGTCTCGCTTATCTAAGGCTGAGGCCTGCAGCATCCACTGGCCTGCCACGTAGAAGCTTAGAGAGTGCTGGCTGTGTCTACCAAGCCTACTTTCTAAGGGACGTAGTGAGATTTGTTTTACTAGTTATTTTACTAGTTCTCGAGTTTGATTGCGCATATCTATTTGGTGTCCCTTTTTGTTTCCTTTTGTCCCTTTTTTCCCCTTTCCCTATCCCTTTGGAGGGTGTTTGGATTCCCATTTGCTGTGTACATAGCATCTTAACTGTAATACACATAAAATATATTTTTTATATAACTAGCTTGGTTTTCAGATTCTTCAATTTGCATAGTTTTTTTCCTTTGCCCTGGGGGAGGTAGAAAGGGGGAAAGAAAGGGGCTGCTACTAGGGAGTTAGGCATTTGTCAGGGAGCCAAGTGCAAACCATCACAGATGCGTATAAGAGAGTAAAATCTTATGGGAAGGATTGCAGGATTTAGCATCTGGACCACTTCCAGAAATACTACCTCACAACTCTGCCTTTTTGTATCCAATGAATGACTAAACAGAATTATCCTGACAGAAAGTGAGACGTTACATTTGCATTTTAATCTGTTTTAATCTGTTGATGAGGAAGTAATATTACAACCCCTAATTAAAACTGAAACCATAGAGGATGGTCAGGGTCAGCAAACTGCTACTAAAATGGTGCCATATGCAGCAACTGAGATTTCAAAGTTCCAAGAGAAGTATAGCAGAGTTTTATGGGAATCAGAAACTGAATATGTGCGGAGAGTGTCCCTGATGGGTGGGGATTAAATCATGTCGTCTGAGGCAGAGGCCTGAGAATTCCAGGGACCAGGAGTGTTTCTGGGGGTGGGTGATCTGTGGTCAGAGAGCTGTGGTCTTTGACTCAGAGGGCTGCCTATTGGGCAGGAGATTTGGATCTATTAGAGAGGGGTGATCTGCTTAGAGCTGAGACCCCAACTATACATCATATGATGGAGTGTGCACCGAAAGCAATATGTTTGCAATTGATGAGTGATTTGTTCCAGGACAGCCATCACCTATGTTGCTGGTTGCTGATCCAAACAGGATGTCTCCCATGATAAGAGATTTACTGGATGTGATAAAACACTATGTGGCACAATTACAGGACTGCTTGAGGCAAGAGTTAACCCTGCAGAGAGGAAGAGGAGCTAGACAAGAGAACCAGGCAACACCCTCACTTTGGGGAGAGAGAGCTCGGGACCTAATTACCTACTGCAGAGAGATGGGTTTCACTGAAACTGTTAGTGTGGCCAGTCTCTTCGCGAACGAAGAACCGGGGAAGGTCTTTCCACCTTCCAGCCTGCGCATTGGATTTTTTAGGTGAGACACAGTGTGCGCGGAACTGAGCCCACCCTTTAATCCTGAGGTTCATCTGCCGGGGCCAAGCACGCTTGGACGGTGGCAGCGAGGTCCTCAGGACGTAGCGGAACTGTTAGTAACCAGAGAACAGCAATCAGGAGATTGGAACTGCAGTAGGGAAGTGGACTGCCCAAAAGGGAACAGGCAGCTCCCAGTGCCTGATATAATGTATTGTTGGCAGATGGTTTGGAGAAAGGAATTTCTTGGGAAATGACAGAAAAATTACCCACTGCTGTTCTTGAGAAGGTAGTATGATCCTGGGGAAAATGAAAGTCGCCATTCCCTTGCTGTTGGCAAGATAAACAGGGTGATGGGGAATTAAAACCCCACAGCGGTGCTCCAAGAGACCTGTGGCCCCACAGACTAACCTTAATCGTCAGTTGGGAAACAACTCCCAAAGTCCTCATAAGTGAGCTGGGGGATGGTGGTCAGTAACATTTAAGAAGGTTCACCAGAAAATGAGTTATTAAAGTCATCATTGGCTTCTGAAAGGGGGATGGGATAAAACACAATCTTGGTTGATAAAGTTACGACTGAGAATGATCATCTTAGGATTCTACTTGCTTCGGCAGAGTGTAAGGAAAGACAATTGTTGGCGAATTTGGATAGGGAAAAGCACAGTTGAGAGAAACAAGATTTGAGAGAGGAAATAGAATGGAGGAAGGCAGATGAATTATTACTGTTATTGAAAATGGAGAAGCTGCAGAAACAGTAACAGGAAGAAAAGGAGAAAAAACCAAAGATTGGAAGAAAAGGTAGAGGTGATGCTTAAGCAGGCTGCCAATTCACTCAGCATTGTACAGAATCCAATTCGAGTGGCTGATTTGCATTATGGCTGTAAACCAGGCAAGACTGAAATCCAGCAAGTAGACTCTTATTAATGCATACATAATAGTGGTCCATTATTATCCAGTAATACATTCAGATTCCAGTTGGTTCTTGTCAACAATTAATAACATTTCTAATCGATACAGGAGCACATCATTCAGTATTAAGGCAGGAGGGTGCTTAGAAGTTGGGAGTACAAACTGGATGGCAAAGAGTTAAAATCACTGGTATAAACAGATCAAGCAGTTTACTTAGCTGTAAGGTTAATTTATGGCTCCTGGATGAGAAGTGGATGACAGCTACTCGCTTTGCAATAAAGTTCATATTGAAAACGTTTTGGGTTTTGATGTTCTCAACTACAGAAACTGGCATCTGATGGATGGCAGTGTCTAACATCAGTTTGAACACTGGCCCTAACCCTAAAAGAAATCCAGAGACTGTAGTGTGCTTGCTCTGTGCAAGATTTCCTGCATCAAGAATTGCTGGTGTATCACAGGGCTGGA